ACAGCTATAAACCAAAGACATACTATGGGGGAAGAAAGGGGAGCAAGATCAAAACGGGGGTTGGAAGAACACATGGCACTGTGGTGATGGCACATGGGTGCAGTGGTGGTGGGAAGTCTATGGGGATTACAAAGATGAAAAATGTACAAAATGCAGAATAATGTAAAAATATATTTATAAAATGATATACATACACATTCATGTATTTTATACATTTTATTATATATGTACTTATAAAACTATACACAGGTGTATTTTATACACACATTTATGTGTATTTTATACACGTGTGTGTATATCCACATATATGTGTATATATGTATGCATATAATTATGTAAGTATTTTGAAAATTTTACTATACATATTGTACATACATGTATATGTACATATATATAATTTTATAAATATAATTTTCTCTTCCCATATACGATCATATTTCTCCATACATCCAATAAGGCCATCAAGGAGTAAAACTTGTGTTATTTGAGTGTCCCCACTTTTTGTTTGTCATCTGAAAAATTTAACTTTATTGTCAATAGTATTAGCCATTAATACAACAAATATTTGCTTCTAGCTCACATGAGGATCAGCAGGGGTGATTTCTGTTTTGGATGACATTGAACATTAAAAAAAATCATATTAAAACATATGATAAAGTGTTTATTAAAATAAGATGTCAGTAAGCATGAAGATGTTAATGCTCAGCAATCAAAAGCCAAGTAGGACAACCCTGATGACATAGGGGTTAAGTCTCATCATTACCAAGCTATCACACTGCAGCTTGAGTTCAGCCCCCTGCCAGGGAGGTAACCTGACATAGCAGACCTCTCCTGTCTAACCCACTACTCTGCTCAGCAGTGTGTTTCAGTGAATCTACCTATTATGCTCCCCACTCTGTCACTGGTGAGTCCTTTCAACACCCACACCTCTGGCTTACACCTCAGTTCTTCCTTGCATAAATTCAATAATTAAATCTTTTTAAAAGAGAAGCTAAGGTACTGTGTTACCACAGATTTGAATATATCAGCATTGTGAGTTAAATAATAAGTATGTAAATAGCTTGTTATATCTGTATACTTTGGCATCCACAGTAGAGAACTTTGGTTTCAATTATGCAAACATAAAATAAAATACTTAAAAAAGAAAACAAGTCAACAGTAGTTAATAGTATACAGTGAAAATACATATTTGAAAAGATATTCAAACCTGCAATTGGACATCCAGGTGAAACACCAAGCAAAAGATGCACATTTTATTTGAAAAGAAGTTCCTAGATACATAAATATTGAGGAATCATGACAGAGATTTTAATATTTTAAAAGGAAATAAAATCATATGGGATGTAAGAAAGTCTATTTCTATATTCATGTTCAGACACATGGAGAAAAATGATATACAAAGATGCACAGTTTCATTTTGCTCAGATTTTATTGAATGAATGAGTCACATGGCTGGATTTTCTGTATAGCACAGGAGTTGGAGTACTATGCCAATATTTGCAGGGAGTGAGATGAACAGTAGGTAATAGGGGTAAACTATGTTCACCTGACCAAAAGAACAAAATGTCATTTTCAGACGCTCAGTGATCACGCAGTAATAAGCATTACAATCAATGGCTATGTTGTGAACACTAACGTCATAATTCATAACTTCTGATCATAATATATGCAAGAAACTATGGCAAGAACTGTCCAAATTTTTTGAATACATTGTCATATGCGACATTTTTAATAGTATAGTGATTTTATTTATTGGTTTATTTACAACTTCTAAAATTGGTCACAACAAATATCCAATTCTTAATAAATTTGGGTGAGTGGTAGTATGGAGATGTCAGGAAAATGAGTCAACTAGATTATTTTCTATCTTCCACACAACAGGCAGCCCTGTACCTTGAAATGCTATGTTTTTTTTAGCATTGGACATCTAACAAACAACAGGTGCACCTGCATTTGCAATAATGTATCAGTTGTGTCCTATGCATGGGCCCTTAACACTGCTTCTCTCAGTATTGGAATCTAACTCTTGCTATGTCTGCCTGCATGTATGCCCTGTGCCTCAGCATTAAAGGACTGTGAAATCCACCAAAGACTCCAAATTCCTTTTTGTCTGTGACATCTGTAAAGAACCTACTTGGCTTGGAATGGTTACATAGTAACCACAAAGGAGTGATATGTAAAGTTGATGGGGAAAGATTTCCCATCCCTCTGATGCAGAACTGTTCCAGATTATGTCATCCTACTCAGGGTGACCTTCTGGGTACATTTATCAGCTCAACCTGAGTCCTGAAATCTACATCCATCTTCCCATGTTGAGCCATTTCATTAATTGTTTGCATGTATCCTTTTTCATATCTTTATAAATGTTCATTTACAATTATGAGCACAAATATGATTGTGAATTTTCTACTTAGCCAGAAAATTCTATTAATTTTTAAATTTAATTATTTTTTATTTATAT